ACCCCTCCTCAGCCTTGCTCCCCCTCCTTGAGGCTGCACGCTAAGTTCCAGAATAAATGACTGAGGCAGCGTTCCTCTAGCACAACTCCTCCCTTGTAGAGAGGGAGTGGGACTCTGCGGCAAAGCTAACATGAACTCTACTACAATGATTAACTTCTGTGAAGGGGGAACTGCTGACTGGCTAGGAACAGAAAGTGGGGGGGATCCTCTGAGAAAAAGCAACCAGCATCCCCCAATCCACAGAGCTCATTTTGCAACAGTATGGAAGACACAGCTCTTTATCCTGAAGAGCCAAAAGAGTCACTTCATCCAGCCTGGGAAGAACCACAGAGATCTATGCAAGCCTGGTCCATATTCCACTCATCAATACTACCCAGAATTATCCAGAGCCGGGCTGCATACCTTTCCCAATAAATAAGGCAGCACCCTTTCAGGCGAACAGAAGACACCTGTTCAAGCCAATAGTTCTACTTTTATCTAGCAGGAAAGGCAACACTCTACCTAAGTCTACTTACTAGTAATTCACTTGAAACTGTAAAAAAAATTTTTTTTAAACGTCATCTTCCTGAATAAAAATATGGATATCAGTTCAAGAAGATGGTCATCTTATTCAAAGGAAAGATTTGGAACCACCAAATCTATGTAAGCCAATACCCAGAGCCTGGATATAATTGTCTATAATGCCTTTGAAAAAATAGCAAAGGTATTTCCCCCCTAAATGCAAATGAGTGGCTTGTATGTGTGTGGGGCAGGATGTAGAACCAACTACAGCCTCCAGTGACTAGCTACCTCACTGAAGCAGCTCCTAACCTGCCTCCATGACATATTTGACACCTGGAAAATCAAATGATTCCAGGCACAGACATCTCTCACATTGGGGGCAGGGATGGAGGGGGAATCCAGCACCCTTGTCTGATTCATAGTGCAATGTTCCATGAGAATGTGCAAAGCAGCTTAAAAAAAAAAAAGCTTAAACGGAGCTCCCCCCCCCCAAGTGTAGCACTATACGCAGAGAAAAGAACTAGCAATCAAAAGCAAGCATCCCAGGAATTTTACAGAATCAGAGAATAAGAGTTGGAAGGGATCTTAGAGATCTTCTATTCTAATCCCCTGTTCAAGCAGGAGATCTTACACTATTCTGGACAAATGTCTGTCCAATCTCCTTTTAAAAGAATAATAAAATAATTCTTGTTATGTGACTTGAAGTTTTCCCTGCAGAACTAGCACAAACTGAGGGGAAAAAAGCATAGGGCGAAAACAGTACTCTTCTAGCGCCTTACAGACTAACACATTTATGAAAAGCTTCTGTGAAGTATCTTTAAAGGGTTTAAAACTGCAAGACTGTACTTTCCAGGAATCAAGAAGGACTCTTTAGATCTCACAAAGATTCAGTTCTAGATGAAACCTCCACGGACTTTGATTGCTGTAGTCTAAACACACCTTTTTAAGATGTCAACAAATGTTTTATCATGATGTTTTTAGTAATATCATTGCAGATTAATTTCATTGTCTAAGTAAAAAATACAGTTATCCTTTCTCTGTTCCAGCAATGGGACAATAATCCTCAGTTGAAGCGGCTTATGCCTGATTTGTTTAGCTGATTCCCAGGACCAATTCTCTGCAGCCAAGTTAACCTGGAAGGTAATCTTTCTGCAGATTGTACTGTGATGAACCAGCCTTCATTGTGTTTTACCATTTAGCACTGGGTTCAAAGCATACTTTCAGGTTTTAAAAACATGACAAATAATAATCTACGTAAGATATACTAGCAGACATAAGAATTAAAATAGTGAAGTCTTGAAAACCCACTCCTTCCAACCCCAACTGATTTGGGTGAGCCCTTTTTTCCTAATCCAGTTTGGAAATATATGACATATTATATCCCATACATTTCTCTCATAATCCAATCAAGTATCCCTGCCCTTTTGTCATTGGGACTTCTATTTTAGGAGGTGTAACCAAGATGTCTTGTATTTCACTGGGCATAGAATTCAAAACTTAAAAGCCTGCTGGTGAATGGATGAGTTGGGAATCAAGGGGGGGAAAAGGCAAGCTGGGGAAGATAGCAATTCAGAACAACAGTCCTGTCTTTCATGTTCTGGAAAGAAATTATGTCAAAACGTCTCCAATATGCTCTAAAAGATGGGTCTTTTCATAAGGTTTAATGAGCATTGGTAACATTGGAACCAAATTAATTCTTATTGTTAATATCGTATGTAGTATAACCAATCCACATGTGTGACTGCCTGAACAGCAGATCTTCAATTTTTATGCATATTTTCTCTTCCACGGAGATACATAGTATAATATTCAGCGATTTTAAGAAGACAGGCAAACAGTAGTCCTGATTAGGATGATTTGATATGTTCTACTTAAGGAGGGACCAAAGGAAACTTTGCAAAGCCACTGCGAGGTCTATATTCAACATCTGTAGAATAAAGTTACTTGGATTGATTTATATAATTGGGTAAGAGCTAGTCTTGCCTCATTATCTCGGAAAAGTTTTAGACTATTTGTCCTGTGAAGTGAACAAGGCCATCAAGGTCATATTTTGTTCAGTCACATTTGCTTTAAATCAATGTCCCTTCTCTGGTTGGTTACCACCACCTTGGGAAGTGATATATATGGTTGGGCCTATGTAATGGTGAAGGCGTCCCTGAGGGAAGGAGATAGGGGTTCCTCTGGCTATAGGCCTTGAAGCCTTCTGCATCTGGAGATTTTTCATCTGCTCCTTTCCAACTCTGAATGAGGATGCACTCTCCCAACCAGAATTGGTATGCAACTTTGGGAGGGGGGGTCCTCCTGGACTTGTAGCTCCTATTCAAAGAGGAGGTGATAACTGTAGCCAAGAGGGCCCTTGCACAAATCTACCCGTGTTTCCCTGAAAATAAGACAGGGTCTTATTTTCTTTTGGGTCCCAAAATAACCACTAGGGCTTATTTTCAGGGGCATCTTAATTCCCCGCCATGTACAGGAGGCTCAATTCTGCTGCTTGCTCACGGTGGGGCAGGCTGCGTAGCATGCTAGTGCCGCCACTACAAGGCGGGGGTGGGGTGGTGGAGCCGCTTCACGCTAGTTTACCTCAGGGCCCCCGCAGCCAGGCCATCCATGCCCCTGGTTCACAGCACCAACACATCACTCAGACTCCTACTCTGTTGCAGCTGCAAGCAAGCAAGCAGAAGTGGGTTGGCACGTGGCTACTGGTGCTACCATTGTGAAGCAGGTGTTAGGATGTGGATGGCCTGGCTGTGGGGCCCCTGAGGTAAGCTGGTGCAGGGTGTGTGTGGCAGCTCCACCAGTACTCCTGCCTTGCCTCGTGGCTACGGCACTACGAGCAACCAGACAGAATGGGTGGCCAGCGAGCTATGTAGGCTCTTAAGTAGGGCTTATTTGGGGGATAAGGCTTATTCATGTAAAAACATGCTAGGGCTTATCTTCAGGATAGGTCTTATTTTTCTGGGAAACAGGATATCTTGTGCGTCAATTCCACACATTTCTAGCCTGGGAAATTGACTTCCGGTTACTCATTCTTTAATCACCTCGTCTCTGGACTACTACAATATACATCACATGGGCTGCCCTTGTAGAATATTTGGAAGCATCTGGTCAGGAAAAAAATGGTAAATGATGAAATCCAGGATATATGCCTTCTCTTTGAGTGACTTATGGAACCCCATTCCACATAATACAAATAGTCTGGACTCTGTTGGCCTTCCATAAGCCTTAAAGACCTGACATTTTTACCAAGCTTTGAGCTAGTATGTTAAATGAACCTAGTTCATATCATTTGCATGTTTGTGCTTTTATTTTACTGAGACTTTGATATCATTGTAATGTATTGATAGTTAGAATTGTTTCTTTGTTTTATTGTTAATATATTAAATTGTTGTTCGCCGCTTGAAGTCATACATAACATGGATGGCCATATACATATTTTACATTAATTAAATCAATAAAAATAAACATTCAAAGGCCATTTTCTTTTCCTGGTTGATAGGTGTTTACCTTGTCCAAAGAACAGGAATGAGCAAATGGGCTAATAGTATTGTGGGGGCAGAGGAAATTAAGAAGACAATTGTAGCAAACAAGTCTCTTTGATCTTCACCTTCATATACATTTGGCAGACTAAAAGTACCATCTTCCATTTGGCTCTATGTTGACAGACCATAAGAACAAATGGGCAGAATGAGAAACTATCAGACATTAGAATGCATTAGATTTGCACCAATAGTACAGATGGAAGTTATCTTAGCTTCATGTCAGCAAAGTAAACTTTTAATGTGGGGTTTCTAGAAGTATATTTGCTTCAGTGATGGATCTATCCTAAGATTTATTTCCAGATATAACAAATATGTCTAATTTTCCCAGACTTAGTTTCTTGTATACCTTGAAGCTTAAATCAATTCTGCCACAAAAAGAGCTGCTGCAGTAATGGGTGCTTGCTAAGGAAAGAAAAAGGGCTCCCTCTGGAGTGTAATCAGAGTTAATACTGAGCTGATTTATAGGACATCTTGAAGAAGGAAGGCACTTGCTCCTCCTTCTGAGCCATTGAAACTTGGAGCTTTGCTGAGCTCTTGTCACGCTTGCAAGGCTCGGAGCCTCCAAAGCCCAGAACAGTCGTTTTTATGCACTTATTCATGGCCATCAGGCAAATGCAAGATTCATGAAGGGAAAAAGTTGCTATCAGAGATCTCAGGTCAAAGAAAGCAACCAGAATATAGAATAGGGACTGAACCTCTAAATCTTGTTAGATATATACATTTAAAAACCTGGAAGAAGGTCTTGTTAGTTATACTGTCAGGCAACAAATTTCATTCGAAATGAGAAGTAGTTGTGTCAAGGGTTAATAAGTTTATGCTTCATAGGTTGGTAGGAATAAATGATATAAAAATGTGACTCTATGTTGCTAAATTTATTTGCATCTAACCCTATGACCAATGTAACACCCAAACGTTTCATGCATAATCAAAGAAAAATGAGGGTTAAGGCTGTTAACTTACTGCCTGTTTTTGTTCTTCTTCCTATAGAGAATTGTAATTGGAACATGAGAGAGAAAAAGAAAAAAGAAAGGACAATTGTTATCTTGAAAACACAAACACAGTTGAGTATTAGAGGGGACACCAATGTGACTTAACACATAAGGAACAAGGGATAAGAATATAAAACACTGCCAGACCTTAGGTTTTTTTTCTTGTCAGTGTCTCACGCCTAGAGGATTTATGGTCACATGAAAACACAAGAATTTGCTAGATAAGACATGTCCATTTTGTTCCCCCAATGATCAAACATGCTTATAAGTCCACAAAACAAATCACAAACACAGTTGGTTTGTTTTATACCTTCTCCCTAACAATTGTTATTCAAAGCAACTTGGTGTGATATCAGAGATAATATACAGTATAATATATAACAAGTTCACATTGACCACTTATCACTTTCAAATTTATTATTCTTATGAAGCAACCTGTTTTAAAATTCTTTTCCAATCCTAATTCTAATGGCCCTAAACCATGATCTGATTGAATGAATATGAGAAAATCTTGTTGGTTCATCTCCAAATTCTGTGAAAACATTTGTTATTAATTCATTGGACAAATGCTCAAATAATTAAACACTCTCAGTCTATTTTCATATGGTGAAAAGAAGCATAAAAAGGAAGTGCTCCAAGACCCACATAGAAAAATATCTATATTCCAATCCACAGGAGGGTTAATTTAAGTACTAAATTAAATAAGTATTTTATAGATAACAATGGATCAGATTCAGATGTTAGGAACTAAAATGTTCAGGAATATGGAAGACAAAACCCGTGAGGAAATGATGACAGAACATGGGGAAAAAATTGAGTAGGGTCAGGACAGGAGTCTTCAAAGATTTGATAGAAAAAGATGAATTACTGCCTGCTGACCCAGAGGGCATGGCTGTATTTAAGGACTTAAATTATAAGAGGAGATTTCAGATTTCAATAGGTTTTTCTATCAGTATCAGCAAACCATCAGTGAAATCAATTATGTAGAGTAGAGTAGAAAAGCTCTGTCCCTAAAGTTCCATGCAGCTCTCGACCTAATTTCAAAAGCCCTCTGCAAGCAATTAGTTCAGGTCTCTTGCAAAATAAGAGTGCCAATGGAAGAGGCATGGAGAGAAAAGATTGTCCCACCCACATTTGGCCCTGATTGCAGCCACTCCTAGCATGTAGCCCTCAATAGAATACACCAAGAGACCGTAGCCTTGGAGACAAAAAAAAATCTTCCTTAAGTTAGAGATATAGGGTGAGTCCTTCCTCATAAGAGCCTTTTAGCGGATGCTGGGCAATCCTCTGTTGAGATAATCTAGCTTTAGAGTTCCTGCATCAAGTAGAAACCTGGACTGTTTTTTGGTCAGAAAGAAGCAAGAATGGTGCGAGGAGGGAAACACAGCAAGTGCTAAACGCTGGAACAAGCAATTTCACTCCTATGAACCAAAGACAAAATGTAGCACAAGAGCCACTTCAGATCTATGCTATTCCTATATGCTTCAGCAACTAAACTGGTTCATCTCAGAACATTGGCCAACACCTTTGGTGAAAGAACACAAGGTTTTGTATGCAGAAAATCCCAAATCCAATCCCTTAAAATGTCAGATAAAAAGAGATCAGTTGAAAAAGCACGCTCCAAGGACTGAAATAGAAGTTCACAACACAGATGGCCAAGTAGCACCGCAGGTACATTGGCCATAGGATGAGTGCAGGCATGATATACCTTTAGCAGCTTCATGAGTCCTTCCAGTTGTACCATCAGTTCCCTTCGACTTTCTTGAAGAGCAGACATTCGTTGTTCCAATTCATCTTTCCTTTGCCTGTTCAAGATTAATAAATGGATAATTTCATTAGTTTGTTATCTTGTCCTTTCTGTTCTGATTATCATCGCTTCTGTAATCACTATCCTAAATTAATGTGGGAGAGATTGGTTGATTACCGCAATAGCCTTAATTCGGCCAGTAAAGTTGGATTCTGCTGGGCTTTTTCAGGTGTTGGCTGGGAAGCCTGTTCATGTTCCAGTCTGAGGCGTTGGATTTCTTGAAGTATTTCTCTAGAAAAATAAATCTGAAATTAGTTAAACACGATTCTTCTTTTTTACTCAAATACCCTGGATGTGCTTTTCAGAGTTTGAAAGGGCCGGTTGATACTCCAAATATATTCTCCTATACATTAATAAAGTCTAAACTGGTAGGGGCTGACAAGGAAAAGGGTGTTGGAATCATGATTGATAGCTTAATGAAAAAAATCACTCTTATGTGCAGCTGCTATAAAACAAGACAAATTCCATGGTTGAAACCATTAGGAAGGGAACTGGAAACAGAAATGTCTATATAATAATGTTGTTATAGAAATCTATGGGCTGAGTTCACATTTGCTGTATTGTGCTCAGTTCTGATCACTGCACCTTACAAAGAGTATTATAGCATTATAAAATGTGCAAAATGGGGCAACTAATGATTAGGGGAATGGTTCCCTACAGGGGGAGATTACAACACCTGGGGCTCTTTAGATTGGAAAAGAGAATAAAGGGAAGTATAATACAGATACATATAATCTTGCATGGTTTAGCTAACATGGAAGAGCTTTTCTTCTGTAACAGTGTTAAAACTCAAGGTCATGTATCTGCAAGACAAAAAGAAGGTAATATTTTCTCACATAGTGCACAATTAAATTGCGAAAACCAAGGGCAGCCATTGGAGGTAGTAACAACCCCAAACTGAATAACTTTTAAAAGGGAACTGAATATTAGTTTATCAGAAACCATTAATATTGATCACTGTTTACTGCTCTCTGAAGAGGCAGCAGACATTATTATATTTTATTATTTTTTAATTTTTAATGCTCCTTATCTCTCCCATATAAGATGCCATTATATACTGGTTGTTCTCAAACAACCAGTATGAGAGGTCCCTTTGATTCATGCCAGACTTGTGACTCCGCAAATACATCTAGTAGATCTTTGGGAGTAGGGAGTTGAAAATACTAGGTGAGGCAGTCATGCCATCGTGCAAATAGGATGACCTAGGTTTCCCCCCACCCAAGCCTTGGAGACATAGTTTTGTTATTATTTTAATATGCTTAGTACATTATAAGGCCAGGATGGCAAACCTATGGCACACGCATGCCACAGGTGGCACGCAGAGCCCTCTCTGCAGGCAAGCGAACTGTCGCCAAGGTCAGCTCCACCACACATGTGCGCGTGCCTCCCACTGGCCAGCTGATTTTCAGGTCTCTGCAGAGTATGCACGGGGCCTGGGGCGCATGGGGTAGACACATGCGCATGCACAGGGGACGTGCTGCATGCGGGAGACATACACACATGTGCGGGATCATGCACGCATGCACGGGGTGGCATGTCCCCTCCCGCAGCCCGCTTTTGTTCCCAGGAGGTTGCAGGATGGTCTACTAGGCCCAAAACAGGGCGCAGAAGGGTTGCTCGTGCATCCGCGTGGGGGCACATGCGCGTGCACATGGGCGGGTGGAGTGTGCATGCATGCGCAGGGGGTGGGGCATGTGGGGGGTCGCACGCACATTGCATTATGGGTGTGGGCGCACACACTTTTGGCACACGATGACAAAAAGGTTAGCCATCACTGTTATAAGGCATATTTAAAATATAAAACATATATTTGTTTTACACTTTCCATCTAACAAATGGCAATGCCCAGAGTTGTGCTCTAAGATGGGTGGCCAGACAAAACTTTTAAAGAAACAAATATAAATGGCTGAAATCATATCATCAAAGGGATGGATTTTACATATGGCTTATTAGGAAACATGTGAAATTTGCCTCACTGATTACAATCAGTATCAGTATCCAGCAAACTCAGTTTGCGGCTTGGACCCCCCAAAAACCACCAAACCAGCTCTATCTCCCTAAAATATAGTCACCTTGAACCTGAGATGAGCAGGGAAGGGGGGAAAGAAGGAAAAGCGAGAAAGAAAGAGATAGACAGATAGATAGATAGACAGACAGATTTATGGAAGGAGGAAAATCAGGACTATAGCAGTAATTAAACACCTCAGCCAATTAGGTCAGGATGAAGAAAGTTTGCTTCCTTAAGAGCCCATAAAAGCTGACATTCTCTCTCCTTCCCTCCTAATATCTTACCGGTTCTTGTTTTCCAGTTCTGCTATCAGTTGCCTTTGCTGTTTGTTAGCATCAAAATTGAATCCCAGATCTATTGGTGGCCGTGTCTGGTAAAAAAAAACAGGCAACATTTAAATAGACTGACTGAATTCTGCCTAGAATATGCAGAGAAACACAAGAGCTATGCTTCTATGGAAAACTCATGAAAAAGCTAATAAAAGAATTCAGAAAAAAGTTGCATGGTTCCATGCTCACATTGCTTTGGTGGGCAGTTTCTCAACATCTGGCAAGAATGGCAGGGGGAAATGTACAAAGAGAGAAACTCAATGAAGTACCTTGTTAGAAGAAACTGACATGGTGGAAGAACATGGGATAGTTGGCCTTCTGGATCCTAAAATCTTATCCTATAGAGAACACCCCATGATCCCTAATTCAATAAACCTTCAATGCACTCTTTAATTGTTTTGCTTTTACTAATTGGGAAGAAGTTTTTTTCCTACAGGATGTTTCCTAAGGCAACATCAGTCCAGAGGTGGTATTCAGCAGGTTCTGACCAGTTCTGGAGAACCAGTAGTGGAAATTTTGAGTAGTTCGGAGAACCAGCAAATACTACCTCTGAGTGGAGATTTTACAGTATCCTTCCTCTGCCACGCCCACCAAGCTACACCCACAGAACCTGTAGTTAAAAAAAATGAATCCTACCACTGCATCAGTCCCAATTAAATCAATCATAAATGTGAGCGTTAGTAGGGGAATGGATTTTTTTTATTACTATTTATTACAGTCATGTTTGAAGAATGGTCTAACTGTATTATCCCTCAAAGTCTATATGGGAAAAGAAGGGAGGATAAATTGTGCTCCGCACAAGTAAAAAAGAACTAGAAATTAAAGATTCTTTTAATCCACAAAATATTTTACCATCTTTTGAAAAGGTTTTTTTTTCTTGGCTGTGATTAGAGAATCTTTTGAAAAAAAGACTTTGAATACACATTGACTAAATATTCCAGCATGGTTTTCAACTATATGAATGCCAGTTCCATAAAGGGTGAACAGGGCTGTATCTGATGCAATCTGATGGTTTTAACCAGAGGCACTCCCAGCATTAAATATTCTGATACACTGTAAAAACCTCAAAACAGCGAAGTGTTATCACATCTGCCCAGCCATATTCTAAGTCCCAACATTTAGCCAGCTAACTATAGATAGCCAAGTATTAAACAAGATTGGCTCAATGGCTAAGACATGGAGTTTGTCGGTCAGAAAGGTCGGCAGTTCGAATCCCTAGCACTGCATAATAGACTGAGCTCCTGTTACTTGTCCCAGCTTCTGCCAACCTAGCAGTTTGAAAGCATGTAAAAAATGCAAGTAGAAAAATAGGGACCACTTTGGTGGGAAAGTAACAGCGTTCCATGTGCCTTTGGCTTTTAGTCATGCCAGCCACATGACCACAGAGATGTCTTCAGACAGCGTAGCTCTTCGGCTTTGTAACTGAGATGAGCACCGCCTCCTAGAGTCAGAAACGACTAGCACGTATGTGCAAGGGGAACCTTTACCTATTGTTGCTCTTCCTCATTTAATAAAACATTTTTACAGCATTCTCCTCCAGATCACCTCAAACAATAACTATCATCGTCCTTAATGGCATCTCTATTGATCCATTGGTATTAAGTTTCAAGCTTGTCTTCTTACACAGTGCCAATGTACACCCTTCAGTAACTGTTGCCTATGCTGCACATATGAAAGAAACATATGAAAACATGGAACTGTTGTTGAAGTACATACAGTACACCAAATGCAACTGTGGAAATCTGTGGAAATCTAAAAGTAGTGGTTCTGCTCCTTGGAATGCAACTGGGATATACAAAGTACTACTATTAATACGTATGTGAATAGAACAGCCATACAAGAGAGTAACATTACATTAAAAAGAAATGGCCACTCCAAAAGATAGAACAGAAAAATGTGGCACATGAATGTGGCACTTTGCCCAACAAAGATATGAGACAGATGTTTCTAAAAAATAATGGATGTCAAGATTAAGAAAGGCATTTTTGTTGGTCCATAGATCAGATACATCATCAATGACAAACAGTTCAAAGATATGTTAATAGGATCAGGGAAAATTGGTTGGAAAGCATTCAAGGATGTTGTTGAGAATTTTCTTGGCAACTACAGAGCACTAAAGTACATTCAGCTGGTTGACAAACTTCTTTCAGCATACAAGACCATGAAGCACAACGTATCACCAAGGATTCATTTTCTGCATTTACACTTGAAATTCTTTTCCAAAGATCTACATGCAGTCAGTAACAAACAAGGGAAAGGTTTCACCAAAACATTGTCAGAATAGAAAAATGGTATGAGGACAACTGGAATCCATCAATGCTGGCTGATTATTGTTGAACAATGCAGTAAGATGCATCAGACATTGAGTACAATAAAAAAAATCAGCAATCAGCATTTAAGCCTGTTGAACTCATGCAGTGTGTTGGAAACATAGAGTTTCCATTACATTATAATCATTAAAGGGTAATATTTCTCAAGATTCCTGTGATACAGTCATTCTGAAATTATATTTTGTTCAGTTTGAATTGATTTATCCTAATTGCCAAAGGTTTTTCAGGAAATAAAGCTTTTGGAAAAAAAATGTCTGGCATTGTTACCAATTAAAAATTTACTAATACTCAATTAAAATGTGATTTTGTGGAAACACCTGTCATAATATAAAACATATGACCTACAAGGTCCCTTCCAACTCTGATTATCTGTTATTCTCTTACATCTTAATTTAGAGATATGGGACATGGCATATTTCATTTATACCTCTAGTTTACACAGACAGTTGTTGCAATCTGCTCAGGAAGAATTGAGGAGCTGATAAATATAGAAAGCATTCATCTTGCTGACTCACTGAAGGACAGCGATCCTCAAGAGGTGAGAAGTGGCACTCATATTCGAGAGCATATAGACTCCCATTTCAGGGCACACATTGCTCAGTGACACTCAAGGCAACGAAAAACATAAATCAGTTGGAAAATTATTTTGGATGGTACTATTTCTAAACTTGCCAGCAAAAGAATATAAGAGAATATTAATAACAAAATAACAGAGTTGAAAGTGACATTGGAGGTCTTCTAGTCCAACCACCTGCTTAAGCAGGAAACCCTATACTTTTACACATATCGTTGGTCAATCTCTCCTTAAAAACCTCTAGTGTTGCAGCACACACAACTTCTGGAGTCAAGTCGTTCCACTGACTAATTGTTCTAACTGTCAGGAAATTTCTCCTTAGTTTTAGGTTGCTTCTCTCCTTGATTAGTTTCCATCCTTTGCTTCTTGTCCTGCCTTCAGGTGCTTTGGAGAATTGGCTGATCCTCTCTTCTTTCCTCTCTTCTCTCTTCCTTCTTTTCATTAAACTAGACATACCCGGTTCCTAAAACCATTCTTCGCGTTTTAGCATTCAATCCTCTAATTATCTCATTGCCCCTCTCTGCACTTTAGAGTCTCAACATCTTTTTTATATTAGGACTCTGAAATATTATGGTTTTTAATTGTAACAATCCTGCTTTCATTCGTTAAATTATGTGGACATTTCCCTTTTTGAAAGTGTATGCTTGTGTGTGTGTGTATGTGTGTGTGTGTGCACATGTCTGTACACTTTATCCATGGAGCATTCTGCATGCTCAATACCTGGCATCGGATTGTGATCAGGAGACCCCCAAAAATGGTCTTCATGATCTGACAGAGCAATGGAAGCACCATGCTAGAAAGCTATGCTACATATCTCAGCCTGATATTTCAGCTTGATCTGGTTCCATCCCCACCCACCCCGGACTAACAGTGTATCACAGCATTGTCCATTGGAATTCATAGAATCATAGGGTTGAAAGGGACCTTGGACTTGGAGGTTTTCTAGTTCAATTCCCTGCTCAAGGCAGGAGTCCTTATACCATCCCGGACAAATAGTTCTCCATTTTTTTTCTTGAAAACCTTCAACAATGGAACACCCACAAATCCGCAGAGCAAGCTGTTCTATTGATTAATCATTCTCACTATCAGAAAATCCATTCTTATTTCCAGGTTGAATTTCCTTCTGATAAGCTTCCACCTTTGTTTCCTGTCCTGCCCTCAGATACTATGTAGAACAAATCGACCCCTTCGTTCCTGTGTCAACTCTTCAAGTACTGGAAGACTGCTATTATGTCTTCCCTAGTTTAAACATACTTAGTTTGCTTAGTAGTTCATTGTACAGTAATAGCATTTAGACTTGTATACCATTTCATAGTGCTTTACAACCCTGTCTAAGCAGTTTACGGTGTCAGCATGTTGTCCCCAACAATCTGGGCCCTCATTTTACTGACCTCCGAAGGATGGAAGGCTGAGTCAGCCATTAAGAATCGAACTGCTGGCAGTTGGCAGACTTAACCTGCATTCTAACCACTGCACCACCATGGCTCTTATGATGAAGGCCCCTCACCATCTTTGTTGCTCTTCTTTGCACTTTTTTTAGGACCTCAGATCTTTTTGTATTGGAGTGACCAGACCTGGATGCAGCATTCCAAATGTGGTCTCACTATTGTAGTATAGAGTAGTACTATTACTTCCTGTGATCTTGATGCTATTCTTCTGTAGATACAGCCTAGTATCATGTTTGCTTTTTTGGGAGCTGCAGCACACTACTCACTTATACTTAAGTGGCGATCATAAATTCTTCTTTGGGATCTATCTTATGCATTTGCTCTGTGGTACATTATCACAAAAAGACTGCAAGGATCCTACCGCATGAATGTTACACACACACACACACACGCACACACACACACACACACACACACACACACACACACACACATATATATATATATATATATATATATATATATATATGTTTTCACGGGTATTTATATGTATGGTATTTAGGTTTCTTCGGATGTTTTCCCATGTCTTAATATTTGTGCTTAAAATATTTTAATATTTTAAAATAAAAGCACAAATATTAAGACATGGGAAAATACCTGAAGAAACCTAAATACTATACATACATACACACACACACACACACACACACACACACACACACACACATAAATTCATTTTAACAAACACTATACAATATTAGCATGAGCCACTGCTTTGTTCATGGAACCCTACACAAGAAAGGTGATTTCAGGATTTCCTAGTTTAGTGCCCTTCTGCAAATTTAGTTTTCTAAGGATTTGGGAACTTAGGTAGTCATCTCACATTTGTATCTTGATTATCAAAGAAAAGAAGATAAAAGCTCAGGTGCCAAGAAACAAATTCAATTGCTCACCACGTTTCCAGCTTCAGCAGCTAATCTGGCAGCATATCGAGCAATTAACCGATGTTCTTCATCCAGTCTGCTAGGACTGTCCAGGACACTGCTAAACAAAAGAGATCTCACATTTACCAATTGGTATTTGCAACTCCAGAATATAAAATCACACCAGGCAAATAAGTGATTGTCCAACATGTCACAGAATTTAAGCAATGTATCTTGGGAATGAATTCTCAAGCTTAACTCATCATGCCCAATTTCATTTCTGCATAAAAGGTAATAAATCTACAATCATGGCTTCGAACTGCATTTTGTTGAAATGCAATATATTTTCCATATAGTATTTCTGGGGGACACTGCATTTATGTAGGCAAGCTCATAACATTTGTCATTTACCAGCATTACTATTTCCAGTATCAATTTTTGAAATGTAAATGTATTTTTTTTAAAAAAATGGGTAAAATATGTTTTAGTATAAATAGTATAAAAAATAACCTTGCACTGACTTTGTGTCACAGCATAAAGACTGGGTTAGTGGCTCATATGTTCAAAACACGAATGCAGATATCAAAACCATATTTCTTCAAAAATGTAGTAGAATAACATTAGCATAAATTTTTATGTGCAGAATTTCTGCCGTAAACCCATTATGTCCCCTAAAAAGGAAATATGGGGGGGAGGGGAAATAAAAGAATAATATATAATGACGAAGTCATACGAATGGCTTGCAAAAACAAAATAAGAAAAATCCAAAGTGAAACACTTGTATTTTAATAGGCAGAAACATCTTGTACTTTGCTTTTCAATGACAAATGTAGTAAACAGTGTCAAATACTTTGGAATCCTAAAATCCAGTCAATGTGAATGGGATTTTTATGGCTGGAGAACATTAAAAACAACTTGTGCTTCCAGTTAAGTTTTCATTGTGCAATTCTTTATTGCATCCTTCAAGCCATTAAGACAAGAAAGACAGAATAACTACAGGTTGCTACTGGATTGGTAGCAAGAGGGCAACTATTTATCACACCAGGTGCCAAAGCAAGAAATTTCCAGCAGTATTTTTCTTCAGATGGGTCCCAAAACAAGACAATTATTTTCTCTACTGAAGGTTTGCTAATTGCCAGGACTGCTGAGAAAACACTAACTTTTAAGAAGAATTAAATCAGAAATCTGATTAAAGGCTGCAATATGAACAGGCTCCCGCCCCCCTTCATAGCATTTCCCCCCAGGTGCAGAATCTGGGGGTATTTTGGGGGGGGGGGGGATAAACCAAATATTGATCCATTGGTTGTGACAGGAATTGATCAACCAGCTTGGTTGACTAGCCTAACATTGTGGGTTGAGAGAGACTAACTCCCCAAAGTCACCCAGGTGGCTTTCATGTCTAATGTGGGACTAGAATTCACAGTCTCCTGGTTTCTAGCCTGGTGCTATCAACTCATATCCATCAGAACCCTGGCAGGTGCCTTCGCTAGACCTAACTAGTTCTTGTAATATGAACAGGCTGTACCGTGACAAACCTGATCACATAACAGTTGACTGATAGAGTTACTTATATCAGAACAATGCCACGTATCAAAAAAGTTCTGTCATTAAAATGAAAACATTTTAATTTCTCAATGAGCTAAAAGTAAACCCAGATTTTTTAAAGCTGAAGTCACAACAAGTTATTTATTTGATTAATGTTGTTTTATACGGGTTTTTTTTCTTTTGAAGGAAACCTGTTTATGGTGCTTCCACATTTTATGGCAGATACATGCAATGCCTGGGACCTGTGGGTACATTTGAAGTGTTGGATGTATCAACTGGAAGCTATCAGGAAAGTACAAGTTACAAGACATTCATTCACCAAAAGTCAAATATTGGAATTGCCCACCACAATCTCTCCATTACCCTCCTGTATACTCTACTTTTAAGAATGACTAAGGAGGCCTGACATATATTTGTAAATATGTTGGAAATTGGCCTACTGATTTCCAGAATGGCAACTGCCCATTCTTTAAGTATTTTTTCTAATATAATATAAACAACTTCCTTCCATTTTGGAAGGAAAATTGAATACCACTTTAAGAAGCATGGCTTTTATAGCACAATGCCCCTTCTAGAAATGATCCCACTCAGAGGATCAAAGGTGCTGAGAGATATTGCATTGCCTATTTTGGCAAGGACCTACTGGCTTTGTCTGTGGGAAGGAATTCTTTTCCTTACACTATTCTTTTTAAAAAGCTGCTTGGCAGCATAAGGCAACCCAACTCTATTTTGCATATCAAAGTAGGCATCTAGCAGGAATGGGCAAAATCAATGTGGCACAATATAGATGTGCACCATTGTAGTTTATCACTAGTATATTCATCCCAGGACTCTCTTTAAAGAAATCAAAATTAATTTCTGAAATTCAGGAATTTGGAAAAGAACTGCAATTACTTCTAGACAAAACTGCTAGAGCTATCCATTAAAACATATTCTCATCAATGACTCAGCTTAAACCATAGAAATCTTGATTCTCCCTATAACAATTCAGTAGTTCATCATTTGAAGTGTATAGGAAAACATTATTCACGTTTCCCCAAATTTAGGAGTTTTTAAGAAATTAAAATATTTCATAATTGTTACATTTCATGCCCAACACTATTTATTTGCCTTGAACCATAGCAAGAAATCGAGTTAAAACTCATTTTGATATTGGTTCCAAATTTCCATCAGATTGTTATAAAACAGAATCTCCTTTAAAGCAATCTTGTTTGAAATCCAATGAGTGTATCCATAAACCTCTCATTTTTAGATTGCCTCTTTTTTCTTCATAACATTTAGTCACAGACCTCCCTTTTGTTAAAAAAAAAATCAGTAATCCATTTTCAAGCAAACATTGATAAAATAAAAATGAATAACCACAGACCTTCCTAACACTTGTTTTAGTGGATGGGCTGGGCCAGCCCGCCCAGCTGCCTATAGAGGGTATCCAACAAAGTTTTGAAAGGGAAAAGAATAATCAACCTGCGTATCCCGTACCCCTTTCCACACACAATCGGCTTGCCTAGCACTAACCGTGTGCTGCTTTGTAGCTGGCTCACATAGGCTGCTATCAGCACATGCTCATCACTGAGCCCATCGGAGGGGGCGAGGCTTTGCTGCAACCTGGGGATACTGAAAGCAAAGGAAGCAAAACTCAACAGAAATGAAGATGAGGTAATGAAATAATGTAAATTATTTGAGGAATATAACATGATTAAAAAATAATAGTTAACATATGTGAATGTTAGAAGGCAGCAGTGACTTAAATAGGCAGGACTCTCCTGTTAGAAGCAAGGGATCAACAAGACATGAAGAATGAGGTAGCCCGTCATTATATTCCTTTTCTCTCCACTTGGGAAACTGCACTATTAATTTGAGCCTGCAATTCTGACAGGCAACTAGCAGCATCATTTCTAGAAAACAAAATACAACAGGTTTCTAATTCATGGAAGAGCAAGGATGTTTATTACTTGGCAAACCCCAACTATAACCACTCTCCTGTGCTTTGTTTGTATGCATTAGCACAGGGGTGTCAAACTCATGCTGTCAGGCGACTCTCCCCCCTTTGCTAAACTGGGTGTGGGCATGGCCAGTGTGTGACACATCCAGCCTGTGGACTGGGAGTTTGACACTCCTGTATTAGCAGATGCATTGTTCTAACAGACATTCAATTTTGATACCCAGTCAAAACAGTCTTCTTTTGATAATCCTACATATTCAAATCCATATCCATATTTTGGGGTCAGCAGAGGACTATGACATTAGGCTGGAGCCTAATGGAAAAAAGATCCCATTTCAACTGTAAGATAGAAAATAAACTCTATTCACTATCTCTCTCTGACCTCCAAAATAGGACATAACATAACCAAAAAATGGAAGAGGCAGGATGTTCATTAATGGAAGTAGGGCCTAGTTAGATAAAGGATGCCTTTGATAGAAGGGGCCTGCTTCCCATATATTTCCTTTCGTACAATATAAAAGAAGACTTAACATAAGGAGAAAAAGGAGGAACAGAGAGATACCTCATTTGTGGTCTCAGAAAGAACAGAGGAAAACAGTTCAGTTGAGTCCTTGGAAAACTGATTAGACATGGGGTATAAACACTTTTTTGGATATCCCAAAACCAAAGCACAAAAACAAACACACACACAAACACAGAGGTAAAAGAAACAAGAAATGCAAGGTGGAGGAAATTATTTTGGACATTTTACATTTCATTAGTTTGTAAATGTAAAATGATTAATGCATATTATGGATATTCTACTTTGCTGTGCCATCTTTTCAAGGGTTGATGTAGGGGTTTCAGGGGTATCAAACTCACGGCCCGTGGGCAGACGCGTCATATGCTGGCACGCCCACCCCTCATTTTAGCAAAGGGTGGGAAAGTCACAGTAAGTCACGTGATGATGTGACGAGGTAAATTTGACACCCCTGATGTATATGAATGTAATGTCATCTTGGATATTCAAGCTAAAAATCTTAAAAACTGCATAAAATTGATTTTTTTCTTAGGGAGATTTTGAACTTAAGAAATCTAATACTTCATATTACCAAAAAACAACAATAACTAGGAGTCTGCTTTACTTTCCTGAAGACTTATGAATTATATTTATATAGGTATTTGTTTTTGAGCTGATTTCATCTTACTGTGCCTAGGAACCGGCTTGCTCAGAGCTGAATAAATTGTCCTGAAGGAGTCAGAACTCATTCTATGCACCAAGATTAGGCAGTTCCTACAGAAATAATGTTTAGTGGTTAATTGCGGACCCTTAATAATGTTACTGAACAATTCAGTAATGTATTGCCCTATTCAGTAACAAATTGCCCTATTTCATTAATTTGAAAAGGGCTGATTGGGTTCATGACATTTTGCTGGATTACTTTATAGTGCTCCACACTGTTGTTCAATAAATCTTTTTCTTAACTGATTTCTTTTTGTCCAGATTGTAAAAAAGTATTCATTGTCACAAATTCATTCTTTGGTAAGTAAAGTGCTGCTAGCAACAGCAGAAGGGATTTATATCATCTGCAGTACACAGAGGCAATTAACTGGAACTGGAACATTCAGAGCAACTTCCATATTCAGGAAAGCTTATGAAACGCTGGATTTTTCTCTTAAAACAGGTAGACAGGAATCTGCAGTAGCTGCTTACTTGGCTATTATCTATTAATCTCCTAGTTTTACAGCTGTTCTCCTTCTCCTAATAATCTGTGATGTAATATAATTGTCTGAAGAAAATATTAATTGCTGTGCATTCACCATCACAAGGCAGCATGGACTGCGCAGCTCATGGCCTCTGCTGAAAATCAGATCTTTTTTTTTCCAATTTGGAGCAACTGACCTTTTGGAATAACATTTATGGCCTAAGAATATTTACAATGCTCCCCTTTGACCCCACAGCTTGCTTTAATGTCATTACACTTTCCAGCTGGCTCGCTTGTGCAGTTTTATGAGCTCACCATAAAGTTGACCTTAGTGGCAACTAAAGCCACTCTGTGCAATAAACTATGGGGCCCTCCACAAGATCCTGATAGCACCGTATCAGAAAGCAAGGAATTAAGCTTCCTTCGTGCAAAAGAGGCAGACACCCTGAATGGCAATGCAATATTTCAAAGTAATATGGCTCTTTGTCTCTTTGGAGGTGAAGAGAAGATTCTCCTCTTCGGTGAAAGTAGTTACTTAAGGTGGGAAGCTCAGGCAAGGGTCCTTCTGCATAGAAATCCAACTGTCTTCAAGGAGTTTTCCATTGGGTAAAATCTGAGAATTTTTTTACTGGTAAAGGATGATTTCCCTATTTGCTAACATAATTTTGGTATTGCTGTTTTTAATTCTTAAAACATTTTATGCTATTGTTATCTGCTCTAACAGACACTAGGCTGGAAAACAGAACATAAATGTTTATAAAACTATTGGAAGTGTGTATGTTAGCATGATTTACACTAATAAACTTCTGCACACATGAGCCATTTCACATCAGTGCCTCAAACTGGAACATCATTTGCCTCACCTTTTAAACAGAAGTCCCACATCTTTGAATTAAAGATCATAGTCCATAATAATACAAATAGGCCAGTCATCTTGAGGGTAAAAGAAATCTGTAGCCCTGATCTACTGAAGTTGCCATTTATATTAGTGTTTCATTTTCTGTATTTCTTCTGAAGTGTTTTTAAATGTGAGATGGACTACAGACATTGCTAAAGTAATAAAAAATGTTAGTTACTTAATCATATTCACATTCTAATTTTCCTTCAAGGAGTTCAAAGATGTTCTTAGGTTCAGTTATTTTCATACCAATCCTGTGAGGTATATTAAGCTGACAATGTATATTATTTGGACAAGAAACACAAAATAAAGTTTTGTGGCTGCTTTTTCAAGGTTGACAATTTATTCTGACAGAACATTTCACAGATGACAATAGGTTTTAGCAGACACAAATCACATTTTCTGAAGACAGATTAACCTTGCAGATGATTTGCAAAACAAGAATGAATTTAAATATTCTATCTTTCTATTCAGAAACTTTTTCTGCTGAAAAATATGCAATAAGAATAAAACTAAGATTACAGTGAGGGAGAATGAGAATATAGGCAAAAAAAAAAACCCCAGTGTAGATACACAGTGTACCTTTCTTGTTCACTGAAAATTAAATTCTGGTTCAGTGAACAACTGGACAGATAAAAGCACTTAATATTCAATTAAACTGGTTCAGACAGGCCTCTCTAAGAAAGGTATTCCTTAACTATTGTCTTTGTTCACATCAGTGTTGAAAGCAATAAAAGGAGTCTTGATAGTAGAACTTAAAAGACTAGCAATTTCATATGGAAGCATACTGTTTTTAGATACTCTTATTTAAATGGTTAAAAACTGAGTGATTCTGTGATGACTAAACTAGGCCTCTCGTATCTAATTCCAATTTGCTTGATGGAAAATCATGACAATACCATATGGAGTTTAAATAGTTTCAGCATTTAAGTATAAGTAGGAAAGTTTGAAAAAATATGGATCCACTGGAAGTTTTCAGCTAAAGGAAATGTTAAGAGACACGTATACAAAATGAAAGATGGGTTTAATCCCAAAGGAGAAGTACTAGTAAGAAGCTGATATCTATAGAAAGTAAGTTGCAAAGATTAAAGCACAAAGGGAAGTGAGCTTGTAAAGAAAATGAGAAGTAACAGAAAAAAACCCTGTTTTGACTATGTTAATAATATTTTTTTAAAAATCAAGAGGTGAGCTTGTTGTCAGGAGATATTGACAGGAGCAAGAGGTAGAAAAAGAACTGAATTCTTCAAAGTAGAACTGTGTCCAAATGGACTTCAGTAGAACAATTGACAAAACAAGGAAAATAAGTTCAAGTAAAGTTGTCCTTTTATGAAGAATACTGACAACTAGAAGTCTCCAAAGTAGAGCAACTAAGATATAAGGAGTCTGGAAGGAAAAACCTAAGAGGTATGGTTGGCATTGTTGGGTATGCTTAGCCTGGAAAATATTTGGGGGGGGGGGGCAGTTATCTTCACATATATGTGGTTTCTATTAACAATTCAAATATTCTCAATATACTTTTCTTTAAAAAATATTTTTTTGAAATCAAGAGTTAACGGGTAATTGATGGTTTTGATAGCGCCCAAAATGGAATGGGGCACCTAAACTATAAAACTAATTTTAGATTTCTTGTAGAAGTCCAGTAAAAAACTATTGGAACAAGAAGCTAGAATGGATAAACCTTTTGTTACAGTCCAGTACAGAATTTACATGGGGTGGGGGGGGGGAGACAAGGGGGACTTGACATTTTTAGTTCATTGGATATATTTCTCTGATGCACATTGGCATTAAAGATCCTAAAAAGTTTTCTGTAGAACAAATGTGCTATTTTTTTTGCATATTTAAATCAAATGGTGCATTACGTATTTTAAATCTCTGTAACTCCATTGTCTTTCTCAGTATGAAATACAGATCTGTGTCGATACAACACACTGTAGAATGAATTCCTTGTGCAGTATATCATATGAAAGGTGGACATATTGTCCATTGTTCTGTTTCTTCTTCTTTTTTCACAAATCATACGATTACTATCAAATGGTCCCTACTTCCTTATGCAGTAACAAATCCAGAGGCAGCAATATAA